AAACTCTGCTGTTTCTTCGTCAGGGTAGTATGAATGGTAACCTTTCCAGCCAGACTGATCGTCACCTGCTTATATGGTTTCCCTTCAACCACAGGATCACGTGCTGATGTAGCCATCCATCCATCCCCTATAGTCTGCAGAGAAGCACATGACCATTGGTGATGTATATTTCATTACCCCATGACAGTAAATATCAAATTGAAAAGGAACTTGTATGATCTATGAACAGTGACATTGTGACAGTTTCACAGGGAAGTTGGGACTTTTATACTAAACCCACTTTAACACAGCCATCAGACGAGAACCAAAACTATGCACCCACAGTCCTTCCACGCCCGATTAACTTTATCATGTTGTAGCCAAGTGTAAACACAGGTGGAGCACTTAACACTACCGATGAGTGATTCATGAAACTGAAAACCAAGAGGTGTGAGGAGAAGATCAAAACTGGAGAAGGTAGCATGTTGAGACTACTGTAAGCCCCATTGTGTAGTATAGCAATCCAGCTGTCTAAAGCTCAGCACTGTGTCCACGCAAGCCTCATATTTCCTTTTTAAATGGTCTTAAGAAGTGTCAACATATAAGGAAAGTCATTTTTAAAGGTTTTGACTTTCACAGAGTTTCTCTTTCAAGTCAGTGGTGAGGAAATATGCCCGAAAAACAGGTCATTTTCATCATGAATTATATTTCACTTTTTAAACTTCGATTAAAGGTCGTATTCTAAGCTAAGCTAACAAGCCACTTGCTGAGCTTTTTTTGAAAACGCACCATACTATATAGACCACAACCTATTATTCCAGTGTCAAATCAAATCAAATCAAGTTTTATTTATATAGGCAAGGCAAGGCAAGGCAAGTTTATTTATATAGCACTTTTCAACACAAGGCAATTCAAAGTGCTTTACAAAAAATGAAAGAGATTAAGAAAATGGCATTTAAAATCAGTCATTAAAAAGAAAAGCTAATAAAATAAACATTAAAAGAAAAAATACATGGATACAAGTTACAGTGCTGTCAATTAAACATTAAAAGAAAAAAGTACATGGATAAAAGTTACAGTGCAGTCTAAGATATGAATAGTTCAATTAAAAGCAGCGACAAAAAGAAAAGTCTTCAGCCTGGATTTAAAAGTAGTCAGAGTTGCAGCGGACCTGCAGGTTTCTGGGAGTTTGTTCCAGATATTTGGAGCATAATAACTGAACGCTGCTTTACCATGTTTAGTTCTGACTCTGGGGACAGAAAGCTGACCAGTCCCTGAAGACCTGAGAGATCTGGATGGTTCATAATTTAGCAGGAGGTCAGAAATGTATTTTGGGCCTAAACCATTCAGTGCTTTATAAACCAGCAGCAGTATTTTGAAATCTATTCTGTGACACACAGGAAGCCAGTGTAAAGACTTCAGAACAGGAGTGATGTGATCCACTTTCTTAGTGTTAGTGAGGACTCGAGCAGCAGCGTTCTGAATTAGCTGCAGCTTCCTAATAGATTTTTTAGTGAGACCTGTGAAGACACCATTGCAGTAGTCCAGTCTACTGAAGATAAAAGCATGGACAAGTTTTTCCAAATCCTGCTGTGACATTAGTCTTTTAATCCTAGATATATTCTTTAGGTGATAGTAGGCTGATTTAGTAACAGTTTTAATGTGACTGTTGAAACTCAGGTCAGAGTCCATGACTACACCTAGATTTCTGGCTTTATCTGTTGTTTTGAACATTGCACACTGAACCATATAGCACATTTATAAACGATTTTTGGTCGAGCCAAAGTGCTGTACATATAATAAAAATAGCCTACAATTCCTTCCAAGTTAAAAAGCATTTATGTGACATGTCCTATAAAAAAAAAGTGCTTTCTATGAAGAAAGGGAACCTCAAAGTTGAATGGTGTTGCCCAAGAGTAAAGGGAATTGAATAATGTGACAAATAGTCACACAGCTGACAAACATGTCAAAGAACAGTCCCTGTCATACTAATTGTGTGACCTGGGAACAAATCAAAGCTTATAGTGAAAACAAGCAAACTCACTTTGAAACCAAGAGTAGGATTTGAATAAAGTGAGAACTAAGTCTGATTTACAAAGCCAAAAATAAGACATAACTATTATCTTGGTCAAAGGAAGTGCTTTTATTAGTTCTGGTTGTGTTTCCTGTGAGTGGGTTTCATACTTTTATGGGGCAGTGTTGTGAGGTGCTAATTTCACAGTTTCACTTCCTGAACAGATCTCTCTCCTTGCATGTTGTGAACTACCAATGCAGAGCGTTTTAGATTTTCAGATTTCTACCAAATGCTGGTTGTTTTTCTCGTTATTGATCACAGTATAGCAGACGGAAACAACTGTGTCAGGGTTGTCAGATGAGTGTTTCCTTCTGGGAACAAGATGTTCAAGAGAGTGGTAGAATGAGAGGTTTCACTCAATTCAGTAACTGCATAAGTGATGTGTGAGAATATAAACCACAGTGTGTGATATTCAGTTGCAAGTCAAACGTTATTCCCTTGCAGACAAAAAGTTAAAGATAATAGCTCCACGATTAGGCCTTTAATATTTGAAGAGAGACAGTGGTTTTTTAATATTTGAAGAGAGACAGTGGTTTTTTAATCTTTGAAGAGAGACAGTGGTTTTTTAATCTTTGAAGAGAGAGTGTTTTTTTGAACGAGTGGTTTTAAGTAAAACTGCTGAATGACCTCGGTTTTACTCCACAAACCAGAATGACAAAAGCACTTGGGATCTTGAAGTCATGTGTGTCCTCATGATCCGCTACAGAGAGTTTCAATGGCACATCCTGAAACAAAAATAACTGCCTGTTTTTCAAATATATGACCATTTCAGTTCTATTGGATTTTCCTTCATGCTAAGACTGACATGATATGCTCCATACTGGCATGGGCCTGTTATTCTGTCCCTAGATTTGGAGGCTAGCCAGCAGACCTAAAGCAGCCTGCACCTTCTGGCTTTTAGTTTAGACGTCTGAAATCCAAATTGACCTACAGTATGACCCTTTCTTTGGTTTAACACCAGAGGATTCCCATGCTCGCTCATCAAAAAAGCCCCTGTAGTCACAGCTTTCACTTCAAAACTGTCTATAACTCTATTATGGTGCTCCTTGACAAAGAGTACAAAGCTTTGGCAATACTGTATGTCATTATGGTCATGCTAATAAAGTTAATTGAATTGAGGGTGAACCCATATGTCCTGCTCTCCTCTTCTTTCTGTTTAAGTTATTGATACCAAGTCCACTATACAGTATAACGTAAAGTTTCTACTAACATTAGCTAACATCAGCCACCAAATGGGGACATTTTATTGATAACAAACTCAAAAGTGTATTTTTATGGGAAATAACGTGTTTTTCAGAAATTAGATGATAAACAAAACTCGTTCTGTATACTGTATAGTCTCTCTCTGCTCTCTTGAACCGTGTGATACTGATATTAAGGGAACTTTTATAACTCAGGATGATAGTAGCTTTAGCCACACAATATGCATTTGTAATGAAAGATTAAAGCTAAAAAGAATCCACCATCACTGTTTTCAAACATCGTACAGCCTTTTGGACATCACCTGAAATTAAGAAATGAGTGTTATTGTTGCAAGCAAAAAGTCTGCTTGGTGATTGGAAGGCATTTTGTCGTGCGAGTGAAACTGAGAAAACCCCTATGATGCCTTTTCAGAAAGTCAGTAGTCAGGAAGCGAGTGCGAATGTGTATCACTCTCACAAGTATTAACAGTCACCCCATATTGTGCGAAAGTACTGTCACTGTCACTGCTGTCAGCATTGCGAGAGATTGAGTTTGGTACCGAGAGGCCCTCGTCACCACTTCCTGTATACCTGCTCGCTGTGATTTATTTCTTGCACTGATAGACAACTGTTCAGCATTTGCATCCTATCTGAAAATATCAGCAGTTTTCCCATGACAGTTTCTCTTCAGGTGCTACTAATAGAAAAAACAGATGCATGCACACATGCAAATGTAAATTCACACTTTCAAGCAAACAATTGCAACACAATAATCTTCCCCCATGATCTTTATTTTGATACAGCAACAAACAGCTGAAATGAATCTGTTTCGACAGCAGAACAAAAAGGATCTTAAAGAATATTGTTTTTCTCATTAGTCCCCTTTGCCCCCTCCCCTTTGTTTTGCACCTTTACTGTAGAAGAACCATGCACACATCTCCTGCACATTATGCAACAAAAACAACCCAAGTTTAAGTCAGAACAGACTGTGGCTTGAATAGTTTCACTGAAAACAACAAGGTGGTTGACGATTGGCTGGCTGTTTACCATTTGTATTACTACAATCTCAATCTGCTCTAGTTAAAACAGCCAAGGCCAAAATCTTTCTATATACACTTTAACAAGCAGAAGGAACAGAAGTGACTGTATGTGTTGAATTTGAAACAAATTGTCACTGTACTTGATACAATGACATCCTAATTTAGAGTTTGAAGTTAACAAACCGTTTGAGGATGCATTTCAAAATCATTTGTTCCTTTCTGATTTCCTGATGTTCAATCCGTCCAAACTTAACTAAATTGATCATTCTCAGCATGAAGTCAAACACCACCACTTCAGATACCATCATTATATCTCTGCTTACTGAAGTGAATGCATGCAGCCTTAAAAGGTCTGTCTACTTTTACACAACTGAATTTAATCTTAGTGTGTCTAAAGTTTTACAGGACTGTTAGTGTACAGTTTTATTATTATTGTGCTGCTGTGTTTTTTTGTCTTTCATGGATTGTTATAATCAATGTATTATTGCAATCTGGCGCCCCCTTGTTGAATCAGTAAGTTACAGAGACAGTAAATGTAATAACCCTTAAATGTATCATCATTCTTTCATTAATATTGTTAATCATTGTCACAGCTTAATTTTTAAATAAGGCTAAACTTCGGAAAATCTGTTTTATTGTTATTCACTGGATGTTTATATGATAAAATACACTGAACCTAAAGGGTAAAAGACCAGAGAATGAAAGCTCTAAAAATGACAACACATGTATTTGTTAACAGCTTTTATTACCCCATACTTTGCACAATACAAACAAATGCACATCTAGTGTAGTTTTGGGGGGATGTATTATACTCTACAAGAGCATTACTTCATGAACATCATGTAAATATTCATTATTTTTCTCTTACATTCCATCACCCACAGCAATACGAAAAGTACACAGCTAAAGAGACAAAAATATTCTATGGCCTTTGTGCAGGGAAGTAGGGGAAATCATTCTAGATCACTATCCACATCATTCAATATGCAAGAGCAGAACAAATAAATGCAGGACATTTTGGTTTATTCTCGATAATCAGACTTTTCACAGAATGTCAGATCATTGAAAATACTTTTGAGTGAAATGCAATTAAAGTCATTAGGTAATAAATTAAAGCAGGGGTGACCAAGTGGGGCCTGTGACATTACTTTGAAGGTGGTCACTATCAATAAACAAACTGGCTTGGGTTTAGCCGAACACTGATTTCACTGAACTACAAATTGGGCTGCTATAATTAAACCTAATCAGCAAATATTGATCAATTACCCTGTGCTAGAAAGCTAAACATCACCTTTAACCATCTGAAAGATAAGACTGCAACGCTTCAGGCAGACAGTGAGCAACTGTCGAATTCAGCAAATGGACAAGGCCTCTTCAAACAGGGATGTGGTAGAAATTGCATAGAGCGCTGAGGGAAGTCTGCTAGCAACTGTAAGTGAGCTCCTAAAACTGAGACGTAGAAAAAAAGCACAGCTGAAGAAGGCTATCATTTATCAGGACCTTATTGGTGTGAGGAGTTGTGCTGCCAACCTTCCTGCTCACACTATTCACTAACTACTGAAGATGCCGGATTAAGCATGGATAGAGCGATTCCTCGTGGAAAGGCTTTTTTCCGTCTCTCGTCTTCCAGCAGTGGAACGGATGGTTTCTTCTCTGAAACACATTCAAACATGTTGGTCCTGTCTTATCCTCTGGACTCATTCACTGGGCTCATATCTGAAACAGAAAAGCAATAACAGTGTCACAAATTAGAAACTTATATCAATATCTAACATAAATCTTTGACCATTTTAATAGTAAAAAGTACTGAACAGCAGAGATTCATCATGAAGGGCCGTATAGTGTTTTTAAATTACTACCAAATATTTTCTATTGCACACCAATTGAGTTCTGGTTTTTGTATCGTAAAGGGGTCTTCCTTGGTGTATTTTGGATATGAAATATTAATGTATTTTGGATAATCTTTATGTATTTTGCTTACAGAAAGTTTAAAATGTCAACTATTTGTTCGTTTCTTTTGTTTAAATGTTCGAAATAGAGTTTTTCCAATTGCATTTTTCAAGCAACCAGAAATGGAATATTCTGGATGATGATGACACTCACCTCTGCAATCGTTTTCTGATTTCTTTGATCTGCTCATTTTTCTTGGTCAGGATCTCCTTCATGTTGCGGTAGGCTGCAGTTTGCTGGAACTTCTTGTCCAACTCCTGCAAAACAAACACAATCATAACACGTGATATACGATTGGTCCAAACTTGACACCATCTGTTAACTAAAGATGCATTTAGCTGCAGATAAACACTGCAGTTGAAGTACCTTCTCTGCCAGGGACAGCTGCTCCTGCACTCGCAGCAGGTCGTGTTTGGCAGAGATCAGGTTCTCCTGCAAACTCTTATGGGACACAGAGTTGGCACTAAGAGACTTTTCGTAGTCCACCTTCAGAGCAGCCACGGTGTCCTCCAGACTACCGATCTCCTGGGATCGAGCAGCAAACTTAAAGGAAAAATACATAACATATAAGTTCAGATAGAGTGAATGGCAATTATCGCTATCACTACAGAATCTATTCCTACTCAGAGCCACAGTAAGAAAAGCAACACTTTGGTCCGCTGGGTACATACCATTCCAGGTCCAAGTTAGCAGATAAAACCAAATGACAGCAAATATTCAGATGCAGCAAATAAAAATACAAAGGTGGGAGAAAAAAATGGATGAATGAAATGCAAACACAAAAGATTAGGCTACTTTACGAACCAAAGCGCAACAGTACCTGCTGTTCACCTTGCACCTTCTGAAGGTCTTTCAGAGCTCTCTCTGCCTTGCTTCTGTCATCCAGTGCACTCGTTGCCTGGGAGAATACATATATAGCAGATAATTCATGTAAACTAGTGGATCAAATACAAGAAAATATGCTCTGTGTGTGAAACATTTATGAATGACTATACCTGGGATTCTAAAGTCCGCAGCCTGGTTTTCAGTTTATCATTTTCCTCCTGTAGTCTGGCTATCTCCTTGAGAAACATTTAAGACAAGCATGAAGGAGTGCACAACTTTCTAGAAGTAATCTGTATTTGTAATTCATGAAATACATTCCTTTACCTTGTTGAGAAGTTCAGACACCCCACCTTCATTGAGTGGTGCTAGCTTAGGTTTGCTTGTTTCTTGGTTTTTCTGGGAATAAAGTAAACAATTAATAGAAAAAATGACCGGTTTTCATTTCTTAGTTTAATATACCTCCCTATTATTGTACAAGATCTAAAGGTAAAGAAAAAACATCTAGATTTTCTTAGAAATGTAAAGCTGGCAGGTGTCTTGTTTTTTAAAATGGTGTGAAAAAGGTAAACCAATGAAAGAGTGGAGTATTGCATTACAATGTTGATTTGATATCATGAAACCACACGTCAACCTCACTGATGTGTGACTTTTAAACCGCAGATATGTGTGAAGGGCAGGCGGCCTGTCATATAAAACGACTAAAAAGGGAACAGGAGCGCTCTTTAGATACTGCATTCCATGTGGGTGTGAATATCCTTTGAACAAATGATTAATGACAACTTTTATATTGACTGTGCCATGTGACACTCTGCATGAGCTGCACATTACTTACCTTATCAGGGGTTTTAAAGTCAGTCTTCTCAAATTCAGCCACTTGTTCTAACAGATCCCTATATGAGAAGAGAAAATAATTGAAGGGTGGAATTTTTTTTTAAATTACAGAGAAAGGAATACAAAAAAGCTTGAAATATTATATACTGATTTAAGAATAATTATAAAGAATGTGTCTATAAAATACAAAGGTTAAAAATATATTTTGTGAGCAACACTAAGTAAAACTGATCTGATAATAGTGTACCATCTCCTCTCACAGCTGTCACTTCACCACTGCAGTGTTTTGAGACATTAAAATAATCTACTATATGGCAGTTATATAGCTTTGGCAAGGAAAATAAACACCCTTGTTTTAGATGACAGTTTGGCACTTAAGCTATAAGATATGTTTGTGGTGAACAGAGCAGCACTCCGAAAAGCTTAAATGTGGTTTTTAAAAAGAAGATGAACACACGTAGATTGTGACACGGGGCGTATTCCTTGCTTAAAACACCATATCAGTCACGTAGGGCTGAGCCCTGAGAAAAAACAAAACAACTTTGAGGCTCATGTGCATGTTACAAACAAAAGACTGTTCCATAACATGCCCAGTGTGTTGACATGGTACAAGGTTATACAGGTCAGAAGTTAGGTTGAGTTCATCCAAGGACATTCAAATAGCATACGTTAATAATAAGCTGCATCAATGAATATTTTATGATTTTTTTTTACTCAGATAACGACAGATGATGGTGAGGAACATGGATAAGCTTCCTCAATTTCACCTTCGAAACAGGGAACATGATGACAAGACTAAGCTTTAGTTTGACATTAGTTATATATCAAAGCCAACATTTTTAAAACAGACACCAAAATGATTTATTTCTTCTAAATCTGTTAGTTATCATTCAGGTATATAAGACCTGACTTTATCTGTGCCAAAAGCTTAAATACACAAAAAGTGCAAAGTACATTCCGACAGCAGTTTGACCGTGATCTATCTATATTAGTGGTATGAGGTGCATGCCTGCATTGCTCTATGTTCAGGCTTGTAATATGAAGAGGCACTTTTGGCATCCTTGCTTTCTTACAGCAGCAAGCATGATGATAAATGATCCTGAAAAAAAGCCTATTAGGTTATTGTCAGCTAATAAGCTTCTAATAGCAAAAAAGAAAGAGTGTTTTTAAAATAAACTTCATCTCAAACATCTGAAACAGCAGTACATTTTCAATTATTGTAACAAATGTGTAACAATTTCTAAATAAAATCATTTAATTGTATTCAAAAAGGAAACGGATACATAGTCAGTTCTTCTAAATTACAAAAGACACATATAAATGATCCCTATTGATGATAAGCAATGCAGAAAGAAATTCCTTTAATTGGAACATTTTGTTACAACATATGATCTTTTCTAATATGGTTGAATTGACATTGTGGTTTTCAGGCTGAATGAACATAGCTGCAAAAAAGGGAATGGAAAAAAAGGGTTAAATTCACATTGTGTATGCAAGCATGTGGCTTGGCAATGACCTTTTTGCGTGGCATAAACTCTAACATGCAAGATATCCAAACCTAAACAGGAGGAAGTGGTTAAAAGTAAAGTAGTTTTTTCTCATGAACTCAAAGGTGTATCAAATGTTTAGAGGAGCCTTTCTCGCTTCTTGCCTTGGTGTGGTACTCTGTTTGACCTTGAACCGTCACATCATTCCATCCATACTATTTTAAATTTCAACTTTTTCACAGTTTATTTAATGTGGAAGAATGAGACATGGGATTATTTTAGGTGCAAACAAGTGCGAATAAGATTTCCTTTTTTCTTTTCATGACTTATAAGGCGCTGTATAATACATCATACCTCGATAAGAACATCATATACTACTGTGGAAGTAAATATCACGTTGACCTTAAGACAAATGTTTTCTGTGTGTTCTTGCGTCCATAAACCAAAGCATTCATCTGGTTGCATCTTTAGAATTTATTTAATTTATTATCATAATAGTTATAGTTTATTTTGTTTTTAAATTCTGTTTTTCTTAGTACTGTTTCTGTTTCTGATTTTATGTAAAGCGTATTTGAGCATCAGGAAAAGCGCTATACAAATTAAATGTATTATTATTATTAATTGTATTTCACATTACAATATTTAACCTTACATTCTGTTTCTTTCACCTGCTCTATTTTTATTCAAATCTATCGTACTCTGTTCATTTGTACTATTTTTATTTTTGTATTATTATTATTGTTATTTTGTTGTCTTATGTCCTTTATATAATATGTTGCACTGTTGTAGGAGCTCGGGACTTAAGATTTTCATTGCCATAACTACACTGTAGCTGTGCAGTGTGCACATGATAATAAAACCCTTGAATCTTGAACCTGAATGTGTTTCCTTCCTCCCTGCTCACCTGTTCTCCAGCTCTGAGATATCACTCTGCAGTCGGAGGTAAAACTTCTCGGCCTGTGAGAAGAGCTGCCTGAGCAGCAGCACGTTGGTGTGGGCTGTGTTGATCAGCTCCATCTCCACCTCCCCACGCACCACCACCTGCAGCCCATCCAGCATCTCCTTCACCTCGTCCACTGTGAAGGTTTCCTCCACCAGCCTTCAGAGAGAAACATACACATTACAGTTCCAACCCACTGTTGTTATATACTGTATATTTTAAATTAGAAGTGGGATTTACATAAAAACAATGATAAAAGAAAGGTAAGGTTGACAAGTTACCTGCTATCTTTGAGTTCCTCGAAGCAGGAGTCAATAGTCTTTAGTCTCAGGACCCTCTTTGAACGTGCAAATCGCATGTAATTGATGACTTCATTTTGATGCTGTTCATTGAACCCAAATTCAGCCTACATGGAGACATGGATAGAGAATAGATTGTCATCACTGATGTAAAATGGACAGAGAGAGAGAGAAGCTAATGAAAACCACAACTAGCTTATGAGCTATCTTGAAGAGGATTTCCCCCTGCTAATATGTGTCGGCCTATTCACATGAGCTTGCCCATACTGTGTGCTAACTGGGGCTAACTGTCTAACAGTCATTTAATAAAACAGAGCGAGAACATTAGCATACTAACTTCCAAAAGCAAACAGGTGGCCTGGCTACCCCCATAACCACAAATGAACGAAACTACTTACCATGGTGGCTGTGCAGCTAATGTTAACGTTACTAGCTTAGCTTGTAGACTGGTGATAAAAAGAGAAATGGGTGTTTCAGCCTATAATGTAGGCCACGCAGCAAACAGACTAGAAGCAAACGGAAAGGTGGTGGAGTCGAGGGTTCTACTAAACTATTTTGTAGTAATAGCTCAACTCAGTGAGGAGGCTAAACCGGGTTAAATCATAGCTATAAGATTATCTGGCAGATTGGCTAGCCTAGCTTTCCAGCTAGTGTTTGCCTTGAGAATGCCTTGGTAACGGAGAAGAGCGTCATTGCCTTGGTTACTAGGGGTGCGTTCAACGGCGCTACGTATTGCGTGCAACATGAAAGTTATGGTCGAATGATTGTTATAATATAATATATATTCATGAAACATCATAAAAGAAATGTGCATGCTTATTAATATCAAAACATGTATTACACGCTTTGTAAAAACATGTTTTTGTAAAAAAAAAAATTCAAGTAATATTAAATGTTGTCTAATTTATTGTAAAAGTCTCCGTCATTCATTAATATCGAATTATTAAGTAATTAATTGTACAGGTTATAAGTGCAAGAAGGTCAATATAATTTATTTTAAAGCATGTTTTTTCTGTCTTCGTCACTGTATAGTATTAAGCAGTAGATGGCAGTATTGAACTAGTGGGTCACTCGGTATTAGACCTCTGCTCCTCATCAGTAGCTTCCTCTGAGAAAATCTCCTTTTTTTCTGTTGCGCCCATGACATGTATAATCTCATATATTCATTTATATGTTTTAGCAATGGGTCCTCGTTTGACATAATAGTTGGACATAAAAGCTTTTGATTGGGATCTTAAAATGAAACAGCTGTGCAAAATACGATGGCATATTTGACACTGACTGCCACAATGTTGAGTACATTTACCAGTCACATAAAACCAATGACAGTATGTTTTAAAGTATGACTGTTTTTCTTTTGTATCTTCTAACATGTTTCATTGGTAATCATAGAGCAATGCAGCATTTTCCTCCTTGATCCTTCTCCTTTCCTCAGCCATGTTTTCCATCCCCTGCCTTTCCAATGTCTTCACCTGTCTCTTGTGCTCCTGCAGATCAGGGGCCCCCATTTGGTGGGGTCGTTTACTTCCAACCTTCTCTTTCTGTCCCTTGATGTATGCAAGATCTTTTAAAGGAATCATTTTCTCTCTGCTGCAGGAACAGTTAATGTGGGCTTGGATCACACAGCCATCACAGCCTCCCCTCTCACAACTGGTAATCTGACACTTGCAAGTCAAAATATGAAATAATTGGTCTAACTTGACACTGAACCTCTCTTTGGCATCAAGTTTGCCCTTCCCAATGGAACACTTCACTGCCTGATTCCAGACCTCCTTGAGCTTGGACATGATGGTGGTCACCTTTTCATTTATAACAGGTGGTTTGAAAAGAGCATTCGCTTTGCTCCACTGACCAATCAGACCAGGGAAGATATCACCCACCAGCTGGTCCACTGGGTAGTTCCTTCTATCATCTTTACTTTGATCCCTCAAGTAGATGCCATACCTCAGGATATCCCTCACAGTTGGCAGTTCAGACACCAACAGCTCTCGCCCAGTGCCAACAAGATTATTCAAATGAGAAGTCGATTTTGCCCTTGTTTTAACTTGAGCCATTTCAACTAGTTCACACTGAAAACACTGATACACAAGTAAGTTTAATTTCCTGTAAATTTCACTTCAGACAGGAACATAAAAGCCCTGACTTCAAAATAAAAGACCCCCAACTTAATATCTTTTTTCCAGAAGAATAGCAAATAATCGAAAAATAGATCATATTCAACTGCAAATTGATGTAGGTTAGGATTATCAGAATTGAAAAATATCTTCAGATTTATGTTCTACACGCCAAAAAAAAAGTATGGGCCGCCCTAATAGAGCATGTATATCTCTTTAAATTCCTAATGGCTGCTAGCACCACAACAACAGTTTGGTGGATTAAGCATATGGCAGTATTTATTTACCAACTTAAATACAATTATCCAGTTTATAGTATTCTTCTTCAATGCATGTTTCAACTAATCTACTGATTGGACTCATAATGGCTGCTTTTTCATCATTAAAAACGAATCTGTCTTCACGTGAGCCAATTGAAAACTTAATAGAAATTGAATGGCTACTTGCTATTTATCAATGAAACCAAAAGGACATCTCTATCCAAAAACCAATGACACCAGTGTTAAGATGGTTTTTTTAAGAAGAAAAAAAAAGGAAACTTTCCTCATGTCTCTCTAGCTGTAATTAAATTAGACTAACAGGCAGCACATGGTTGGTCACCTAATCAGATACATCAGAATGTGACCACTCAGTGTTGCCCTGCTTCCCTGTGCAACATCAGTCAGACACAGGGACCAAGATGTTTCCCCTTTACCTTCAATCGCGGTGAGTCACTTACATTTTGAAACAGGTACTAGACACCTTAAAACCATATTCTGAAGGGTCAGATATTAGGCTACTCTTTTCAGTTTTTGGCCCTGGGAGTCCCTGGGGCTGCCTGTCAACAGTGGTCAGTTAGACCACCTCCTAGGAACTAGCAAACTCTCAAATATATTAGATTGTACAATACTGAAGATCATTGCAAAGCAAAGGTGTTAAAATAAATAAATGTATTGACAAATGTAATGTTTAATAAACAATTAAGCAATGTGAAGCATTTCAATAAAACATTGTAGGCACTACAACCATACGTTTGTAATAGATGCATTTAAAGTAAACTGTTGTATAAGAATGATATGACATGAAAAAACATTATTATAAATGTACTTAAGGTTGTGTATGCAGGTGTTTATTTTTTTCAAGTTGCCATTTCATATCAAAGCGATATGACACGTTGTGCCAGTAAATGTGTGGCCAGATAATTTTTGTTCTGGTCTCAATTTTTATGTAGGCCTAACTTGTGCTCACTGTTATAATAATAGGAAGTATTGCTGCATTGGTAGTACTTTGTCCCTAGATGGCACAATAATCTTTATTTTTCCAGGTCTCTGTTTGTATTTAGCAGGCCCCCGGAACTGGAAACCTGCACTTTAAGGGTTTTATTTGGCAATATATTGTAAGCTAACAAGAAGTGTTATATGCAGATAAATGCACATGTAAAAATAGGAGAAGGTAAGGAGTTATTTAGTTTAGATCAATTCAACAAAAGGCGTTTAGACATTTACTCTAAGCAAAGTGACTGTCAAAATCGAACTATTAGTTAATACGAGTCTATATTTGAGTGTTTTGAGCATGGTTAATACATTCAGTATGATGTATCTGGCTAATTCAATGTTCGCTTATTCACTCTTACAAATGGAAACTAAAGATTCTCTATATAACCCAGTCAGCACCAGCCCCGTGCAATTCACTGCTCCGAGGTCAGTTGTCGGCTGCATGTATCAATACAAACACGGAAGGAAATTGAGAAGAACTGATCTCGGGTCGGCCTCTCGATAATTCCGCGTCGAGACAAACCAATCAGCTGACAGCCGCATGACAGGCAGGCCTCACGCTTGCGCAGTAGCACTCTCTTGGTATCAGGAATATGGCAGCGTCCTGAGCCCTGTTGGGGGGAATACGGCGTAACTGAGCACCTTCAGCACCAAAGTGGGAAAACTGAGAAGCACCACCCGCACTCGGAGGAGGGTGGGGGGCTGAGGGACGGCTTCGACAATTACCCGTTAGCGAATTTACAGGTAATTGCAACCGTTTGCACCTGCCACTGTCTCCAAGCCATCTTCTCCATGTTTGCTTGATTGAACCCCGCTGCTAATGCGACTAGCTAGCTCTTCTGCAAAACCCGAGTACAGTGCTAGGTAGCCGCTAGCTTGAGGCTAACCCAACATTAGCCTGCCACAGCCCCTTTTTTGCATTTAGCAAACAAACGCTGATAACAATAGTCTATGGGCTATCTTTTATTCTTGTGAGGAGGAGCAGCACTATTGACATCTATATAATGTGCTGTCGTTCTTGTTTTTAGCCAGTTAACCGTGTAGGCCCGCTACAATGAAGGATAGTTTGGCTAAGCGTTTGAAAGCCAGGTAACGTTAATTCTGTTTGTCATGGATTTACTTGACAGATCGGGATCCAGCGCTCAAAATCAAATGGACTTAAGAATCGCGGACAGCTTTTTCAACGCATTTTGTGTAACCTATATGTTTATATCTCTAGTCACGTGTAAAACAAACTGCAAGCAAGTGGTTCATTAAATAGAGCCATATAAGATGAAGTAGAGTAAGTGCAAGTTGACAGGGAGATGATTCACATAATTTGCAAATAAGAGGAGGACATTGCAACACGTCTTAAGTGCAGAAACGGCTTTTAAGAAGAAAACCACATTGCAGAAACCAGAATTATATGTGCTTAATGTTTCTGGCTATGTCAAAAAAATCCTATAGGCTATGCTTTTATTCTGCTGTCAGTTCAGACATGGTTTATGTTCAACTTGGTATTAACTGGAGATGTTAGAAAAAGTTAGGCCCATATAATGATGTAATAACAGATGATCATTTGACCCTTGTACCCACACTGATGCTGATGCAGTTTACATATCATTTTTATTGTGCTTTTCAAAGGAAACTGCTGATTCAACTCTTTTTTTTCTTCACAGCTGTGAGAGACATGGAAGAAAACAGAATGAAGTAGCAAAGGAGAGCAAAGGAGTTGTTAACACAGTATTACATGGTTAATTGTCGTGGAACTTAGAGTTTAACTTGCGTCTGTAGTTTGTGTTTGTGGTAACTAACCAGTAATATGGTTGATAGTCTGTTTACAGTTGTTCAGATCCCATTTCAAAAGCCGTGTTTGCTAATGTTGATGAAAAGTTGTGAGTCCTGTCTGGAACAAGTTTTCATGTAAATGGTGTGTGCTTTGCTTTGGGTCTGGTTCCATTTTCATTGACTGTTATTCCCTTGTTTGACTTCTATTTTTTGCTCAAGGATAGCCCATCATTAAATTGCTATTGATCTGCATACAGGCAGGAAGAGGTGGGAGGAGTAATCACATGACTCAATCCTGGAATCTGGCTTGACTTTTAAACTCCTCACAAAACGCTTTCAACCCAGTAATGTATTAGAAACTGCACTGCCCTCTGCAGAAGCAAAGAGCATGCTGTGCACTGCTTGCTGTTAACATCTCCTATTGTGCATTCCATCAGCCCCCCGCTCTGGATTAAATTCATTATGCAGCTCCGTGAATGTGTCAGAAAGAAAAAAAAACTGTTGATACAAAACTTGGCTCTTGACGTTTCCTTGCAGCTTTGTTTCTCATGCACAGGCAT